ATGTTAACATTACCTGATATGTTTTCTACTGTTAACGTTATCTGATATGTTTTCTATCTGAAAACAAAACAATAGCTCATTGGTTCCAATAATTGGAATGAACTATATGATTTTCTTGCAGTTCTGTAAACATAATCTTCAGGTAAAAACATCGACACTCAATTTCATGATTAATAGGAAGATTTCCTCTGAATATTGATATCAAAGTTCGAATGATTGGATTTGGGGCCAAATTGTTCGAACCTATACCTAATAAATCAAATTATAAAATGTATAGTTATACACTATATTACTTAATGTTCTTATTGTATTAAAAATGTCCTTGATGAATGTAATTTAGTACATATATTTGAAAGTCAAGAATTCCAAAGTAACAAATGGTAAAAAATACAGTTATTCATACACTCAAAGATAAATTTAATAATAAATGTAGAATCGATAATTTCAACCACCTTAAGGGACGAATTACAGAATCTATTAACATGACCTAGTATTAGAAAATATTAGCAAATACTTTGTAAATTTAGAATTTGTAATGTCCAATTGAATGTGGTAGATGGAAGAAGATTCCAAGAGAAGATAGAAAATGTATTCTTTGCAACCTGAATGAAATTGGAGACGAATATCATTATTTGTTTATTGTAATGACCACCAGATACTGCAACACAGAAGAAAATTTATGTCGAGATATTATTTTGAAAGCCCTTGTACTTTCAAGTTCAATACATTTTTTGATTATGTCAATAATGAAAAAATCTTTTCACTTTTAAAATTCCTTCAGCACATAATTGTGCAAACCAACACTGTCAATTAACGCCATGATTTGTATGTAAATTGTTCTATATATATGTTTACGTAAATTCTCTACACTGTAACCAATTTGCGAGTATAAAACTTGTCATTGCAAACGTGTATTTATCTTGAAAAATTCCTTATGGCTTTAAGAAATATTTGTTCCATTAGCTTTATTTAAAAAATAAAAACAAACAAATCGTCACTTAAAATTAAACTAATTGTCAGGCTAGATGTCTGCTAATTAGTTTAGAATGAAAGGGAAAGATTACTTGGAACCACATAGTTGAAACTGTATATATGTACCGCCTTATATAGTACTGTTTTACTCCCTGACAAGTATTGATACTATGGCTTTATAGGTAACGGTTGAGAAGTAACTAATTTAAAAACATCATAACTATGCCCAAAATTAACGTATTCTCCTTACTTTTCACTGGTGTTATATATACCTCAGCAACTAAACGATTTTTTTTCTGGTTAAGTTTAAGTCTAGCTAAAGGTAAGATGAAAGCTCGGGCGCTCCCGCTATTACAAATAACAAGTAGCGTAAGGTTGAGGAATTTATAATTTCAAAACACCGTAACTCCGCCAATAATTTACATATTATAAAAAATGTATCCAGCATTGTGTTATTTATATTCACATTTTAATAAATAAAGAGTTTTAATTGACCTAACGATAAAGATGAAAGCCCGGGCGTTCCCGATGCTGCAAATAACACGCGTTATATTCAGAGCTTTAGCGTAATGTAGCGAAGTATCTAAAGTTAGATCAGCATACATCTTTACTTTATTTAATTAACTTTACAGAGTAATGTCCGGGCAGTCCTAATATTTATAAAAAGCAAGTCCTGCAGTAATTTGGCTAATTATGAACATATTTGATATTTTCTTCAGTTTTGTATTTTTCGTTCCTTAACTAAAAGAATAAGTTGTTTCAGTACAGTCTATACTACTACACAGGTGAAATCCCGGGCGGTGTTTGTATTGCAAATAGCAAACGTCTAGCTCTTCTCCAGCGGGTTGTAACGATGTTACTAATTTCAAATAACCATAACTAAACTTTAATGATTTTTTCACCACTTCTTGATCATAACATTCATATTGTTACAAACAATGCAAAACATACATTTGAAAAGGTATATAAGTGAAAACAAACGCTCGGGCGGTCAATATATCACTACTGGGCTGTCCCTGGATGTGCCAGGCTCTACCGGGCTGTAATTATTACAACCACATTGGGGTTCTCCGAATGTGTAGAAGTTCGGAACCCAACGAGGTAGTCATTCGGAACACCTCGCCCCGATTCCAGTTCCTTCCAACGTAGACGTTAGACGACCCTATCGGCCGAGAAGTTCCGAGTGCGAGGTAGTCGGAGAAAACGCGGGAGATGTCCATATATCGATGTACTCAAAACGTCTGTTGCGATTTCACCATCTAGGAAACCAAAACCAAATACAAGACATGATAGCGCAATCGAAAATTTCATCATTCTTTAAGACTGGTCAAGCATCCAGTAAGCGTTCATCAGAAGTGACACAGAACGATCAGGTATTCATAAAGTGATAGTAGCCTCGTCTTCAACCAATAACAATAATATTGTATCGCCTAAGTCTTATGTTTCCGCGCGTTATATATTTCCGCGCAGCCAATTTATCAAGCTATATCTCGTTACTACGCGACTTGCTGGACACTACACAGAGATATTTTAGACGTTTAGGCCATCGTCTGTAAACTGACACAAAAATTACCGGAAGTTCGTCCGGAAAAACAAGCATACACATGCAGTTTTGCTTAATAATACAATTTTTTGACTTGCTCAAAACTAATCCATACCTGAAAAAAACAGTGATATATTTCATTCATGAACCGGTCTTTGTAGTCTGAAAAACGTACGAAATGTCGTGTATTTAAATGAGGCCGGTGTCAAGTCGTTTCGGTAACAAGACGAAAGTCGTTTCGGGACTTGTTTCGGGACATGTCAAAAGTCGTTTCGGGATTTTTTTACAACAAAAATAATAACAGATTCTACTCTTATTATATAATTAAAATAAATAAATTGATAAAATTACATGAATTCGTTCAAGTTGACATATTGAAAAATCAATAAGAAAAGTGATATTTAAAAAAATCTGTTTTGATTATCAAAGATATTTTTTATACCAAACGAAGCTTTTGTTCGTGCGTGTCCTTTTAGTTTATTTGAGTTATTTTTTTTTAACACTAAATCAAAATAGACAGGCACAGAAACATATGACGGCTACTTCCGATGGGAGAAATTTTTTAAAAATTGTTAGTTCTGATTTTCTTTAAATACAGTTTTATGTTGCTAGTTTTTGTTCCAATTAGTAGGTTAATTGTGTACATGTTTACGACAGTCATCCAAAATTTCAACAGTTTCTACCCATCTGCATGAATACGAAATCGCAGATGCTTCTTAATTAGTGCGCGGAAACCTATAGAAAACTAGTCAGAAAATAAATAAAAAATAACTAGTAAAATTTAGAAAAAATAAAATCCTGTTTTTAACCACAAACTTTACGTTCTCCTTGACAGTGTTCCCCCTTTTATTGATCTTCAGTCGTAAGTACAATGAAGGACACAAAGTCGTAAAATTATTTGGCTTGTAGAACTATTTAAACAAACACATATTTTTTCACTTTAACTGGAGTAAATAATTGCCATTTCCAATATGAAATAGTATTTAATTGTTGTTTGGGGACAGGTGGAAATGAGTTGAGACTGGTCTTCTTTTAATATATATTATGATTCATGTGACAAAAGGAGCCCCGGCGGACAGTCATGACACAATATTTATATCCTATATTCATCGGACATTACAATCAGGACATTCATAGCGTCGTTTTAATACGATTCAGATCGGGACAATTTAAGTATAATCAAGATAGCTCTAAATTGCAACATCTCAATAACTTGTTTATAAGTGGTCATTTCACCAGGTATCTAGTGTGGCTGCCACCATGCAGACATTTGATCGTTATGCCTACAGTTGTGCAGTCTTGTCTACAGTACAAATATGAAATAAAACATCATTTAAATAAAGTTGTTCCCTTGAAGAGTGATGGAATTTAATAAATAAACAATTCCCATGTTGGCTATGGCCCTAAAATGACCTGTCACAGGAATGACGGATGAAACCATTCAACTTCCACTTTCGTTTCTAAGTGCTTCGGTTGTCTCGGTCCTATTTGTGTTTGCATCGGAAAGGGCTATTCATATTTGTAAGTCAAGCATTTTGCTGACTTAGTGAACAGTCACATTTTCAGGAAATTCATTTGGAAAAGTACTTAAAGTAGACTAAGTGCACGAAATACATTAATTGACAATACATATGGCATCTGAACTATTGCCAACATGAAGCACGATCAGTTAAAAGTTCACAACGCGAAAATGTCCACAGCGCGATCAGTTAAAAAGCTCACAACGCGACAAATTTCCACTTCCACAGTATTCCTGGAACCCTGCGTCTCCATTCTGCTTTTACGTGTTGTAACGCTTTCTATAAAGTTACCTTTCAAATATTTGAATTGTACTTTATTCTTACTTCAGAATACACCACCAAAGAGGGCCAAAACAGAGAACAAAGAATTAACTCCAGAAAAAAAGTCCAATACAGATGGCTTTGCTGTCTCCCCAGCTTTATCACCAGAACAGAGGGCCCGAATGGAACAGAACCGAATAAATGCAGTGGCCAAACTTCACACCTTAAATTCTCAAGGACTTCTTGTCAATTTTGGAAACAGCTGGAAAAATGCATTAGAAAAAGAATTTTCCAAAGATTACTTCCAGAAGGTAATGATGTACCAGTAATACAGTCTAGCTGTGCACTGAAGTTTTCAAACACACATTGCATTTGTTTAATGGTTGTATTTAGTAGAAATATTTTTAAGTATTTTTTAAAGTGGAAGGAAATTATGATTTAATAACCAGTAGAACAACAGCGAAATGGCTCAAAGTTCTGGCTATGTATTTTGTGTGTGTTTTTGTTGGCAATGCCAATTGGAATTGGTCATGTGTTGGAAAGTGCTACGTTTCATTAATAATGGTGAGTTTTCAGAAGTACCAATTAAAACCCCATTGTCAACAAATTATCAAAGGTGTGACAGAATTTGAAAATGAATTTAGTCTAGGAATGCTTGCATTTAATTATTCATTTATTCTTTAATTTTTCGTTGTAAATGATAAGGATTTGTTTTGTGTGAACCTTTGACCTTAACTTTAATTTTTAAGCCTCTGAATCGGGGAGCACAACTTTAGCGGACGTGCATCTTTATGTGACATTTGATTTGTCCATATAAAGTTTCCAACAAATTGTTAACATAAACAAGAAAGAATACAGATATGTATGTGACTTTTCATGATGACATTTAGTTTTTAACTGACCTTTACAATATGAAAGATACTGTAATTAAACAAATTATTTTCATTTTGAAAAAATTGATCCATTAACCCTTACCGGACGGGGAACGTGTTGACACGTTTGCTTTTTCCACTCAATACAATGCGGGGAAACGTGTTTACACGATTCCGGTAGTACCTTGGGAATACCCACTGTAGACTCAAAACGAGGCAGAATTCTTTTTACATTCTTGTCAATTTGCTTGTAATATTTCAAAACAAGTTTTTTACAGCTTTTGTGCTGTAACAGGGTTGTACAAAAATTGTTGACATGTTCGAGAAATACACCCAGATTACCTGTTAATGTGTTGTGTAAAATGTGACTGACAGTCAAGTATCATGCTGTAGTATGATAAATGATGACTTGGAAAGATTTAAGGACCATGCTGTAGGTGTCGATCAACATACTCGGTATACAGAGGCTAGAAAGATTTAAGGTCCATACTGTAAGTGTCGATCAACATACTCGGTATACAGAGGCTTGAAAGATTTAAGGACCATACCTTACATACTCAGTATACGTAGGCTAAAAAGATTTAAGGACCATATACTGTAGGTGTTGATCAACATACTCAGTATACGTAGGCTAAAAAGATTTAAGGACCATATACTGTAGGTGTTGATCAACATACTCAGTATACAGAGGTTAGAAAGATTTAAGGTCCATACTGTAGGTGTCGATCAACATACTCAGTATACGTAGGCTAGAAAGATTTAAGGACCATACTGTAGGTGTCGATCAACATACTCAGTATACGTAGGCTAAAAAGATTTAAGGACCATACTGTAGGTGTCGATCAACATACTCAGTTTACAGAGGCTAGAAAGGTTTAAGGTCCATACTGTAAGTGTCGATCAACATACTCGGGATACAGAGGCTAGAAAGATTTAAGGACCATACTGTAGGTGTTGATCAACATACTCAGTTTACAGAGGCTAGAAAGGTTTAAGGTCCATACTGTAATGTTGATCAACATACTCAGTATACAGAGGCTAGAAAGCTTTAAGGACCATACTGTAGTGTTGATCAACATACTCGGTATACCATACTCAGTATACAGAGGCTAGAAAGATTTAAGGTCCATACTGTAATGGTGATCAACATACTCAGTATACAGAGGCTAGAAAGCTTTAAGGACCATACTGTAGTGTTGATCAACATACTCAGTATACAGAGGCTAGAAAGCTTTAAGGACCATACTGTAGTGTTGATCAACATACTCAGTATACAGAGGCTAGAAAGATTTATTGACCATACCTTAGGTGTCAATCAACATACTCAGTATACAGAGGCTAGAAAGATTTATTGACCATACCTTAGGTGTCAATCAACATACTCAGTATACAGAGGCTAGAAAGATTTAAGGGCCATACTGTAAGTGTCGATCAACATACTCGAGATACAGAGGCTAGAAAGATTTAAGGACCATACTGTAGTGTTGATCAACATTCTCAGTTTACAGAGGCTAGACAGATTTAAGGACTATACTGTAGGTGTCGATCAACATACTCGTTATACAGAGGCTAGAAAGATTTAAGGACCATACTGTAGGTGCCGATCAACATACTCAGTATACAGAGGCTAGAAAGATTTATTGACCATACCTTAGGTGTCAATCAACATACTCAGTATACAGAGGCTAGAAAGATTTAAGGGCCATACTGTAAGTGTCGATCAACATACTCGAGATACAGAGGCTAGAAAGATTTAAGGACCATAATGTAGTGTTGATCAACATACTCGGTATACAGAGGCTAGAAAGATTTAAGGTCCATACTGTAAGGGTCGATCAACATACTCAGTATACAGAGGCCAGAAAGATTTAAGGACCATACTGTAGTGTTGATCAACATTCTCAGTTTACAGAGGCTAGACAGATTTAAGGACTATACTGTAGGTGTCGATCAACATACTCGTTATACAGAGGCTAGAAAGATTTAAGGACCATACCGTAGGTGTCGATCAACATACTCGGTATACAGAGGCTAGTAAGGACCATACTGTAGTGTTGATCAACATACTCAGTATACAGAGGCTAGAAAGATTTAAGGACCATACTGTAGGTGTCGATCAACATACTCAGTTTACAGAGGCTAGAAAGATTTAAGGTCCATACTGTAAGTGTCGATCAACATACTCAGTATACAGAGGCCAGAAAGATTTAAGGACCATACTGTAGTGTTGATCAACATACTCGGTATACAGAGGCTAGAAAGATTTAAGGACTATACTGTAGGTGTCGATCAACATACTCGTTATACAGAGGCTAGAAAGATTTAAGGACCATACTGTAGTGTTGATCAACATTCTCAGTTTACAGAGGCTAGACAGATTTAAGGACTATACTGTAGGTGTCGATCAACATACTCAGTATACGGAGGCTAGAAAGATTTAAGGACCATACTGTAGGTGTTGATCAACATACTCAGTATACAGAGGTTAGAAAGATTTAAGGACCATATACTGTAGGTGTTGATCAACATAATCAGTATACAGAGGCTAGAAAGATTTAAGGACCATACTTTAGGTGTTGATCAACATCCTCGGTATACAGAGGCTAAAAGGATTTAAGGACCATACTTTAGGTGTTGATCAACATACTCGGAATTCAGAGGCTAGAAAAATTTAAGGACCATACTGTAGGTGTTGATCAACATACTCGGTATACAGAGGCTAGACAGATTTAAGGACTATACCGTAGGTGTCGATCAACATACTCGGTATACAGAGGCTAGAAAGATTTAAGGGCCATACTGTAGTGTTGATCAACATACTCAGTATACAGAGGCTAGAAAGATTGAAGGTCCATACTGTAGTGTTGATCAACATACTCGGTATACGGAGGCTAGAAAGATTTAAGGACCATACTGTAGTGTCGATCAACATACTCAGTATACGGAGGCTAGAAAGATTTAAGGATCATATACTGTAGTGTTGATCAACATACTCGGTATACAGAGGCTAGAAAGATTTTAGGAACATACTGTAGTGTTGATCAACATACTCGGTATACAGAGGCTAAAAGGATTTAAGGACCATACTGTAGGTGTTGATCAACATACTCAGTATACAGAGGATAGAAAGATTTAAGGACCATACTGTAGGTGTTGATCAACATACTCAGTATACAGAGGATAGAAAGATTTAAGGACCATACTGTAGGTGTCGATCAACATACTCAGTATACAGAGGCTAGAAAGATTTAATGACCACATACTCTAGGTGTCGATCAACATACTCGGTATATAGAGGCTAGAAAGATTTAAGGACCATATACGGTAGTGTTGATCAACATACTCAGTACACAGAAGCTGAGCAATGTCAAAGACAGCTGGTAACTGCAAGAGCAGTGCTTTTTCTAGGTACTTTTGGAGAGCTTTTAATGGCCCCATTCCTCATGCATTGAAACCATTTCATCTTTATGCCTAATTCCCTAAATTTGCAGTTTACTCCGGAAAATTTCCTTCCTAATTTGTATATTTTCTTACAAAAATGAGACAAAAAGGCCCATCCCAAATTAACAGAAAGAAAATCCTGGAGCTCCTGCAGTTAAAATGCAACTGAATTTAAATTTAAATTTGATACATTTTCAAGATTCTGTTCTCCTAGGTCCTTAATTACCTGGGCCATTCCTAAGAAACTTTGGGTACAACCAACTGTTTTGGGTACAAGTCTCTAATGTTGAGGTTTATGGAAACACTAAACCTAGAGCCTGGTTAGCTGTTTTATCATACTTGTGATTCTGACTATGTCACTTAAGACAATGATAGGTCAAAATCAACTTTAACGATCTTTATCTGATTTAAGGATCCCCGTACCTGGAAACGTTTTTCTAGCATGACTTGATAATAAATCATTTCTGAAAGAAAAACATTGCTTCAAATTGCTTGCAGGATTTGTGTGAAAAATATTAAAGATCAACTTAACCAAATAGCATCAAGAGTGTTCTGAGTGTAAACATTTCAGTGGGGCTGGACCGGGATACACAGTGGGGCTGGACCGGGATACACAGTGGGGCTGGACCGGGATACACAGTGGGGCTGGACCGGGATACAAACCCTGGACTTACTATTGTTATACTATTGCNAAGTTTCTGAAGTTGTGTACATTTTATATTTCAGTTGACCAAGTATGTTGAGGCAGAGAGAGCCAAAGGGACGATCTACCCACCAGCTCATCAAGTGTTCTCCTGGACACAGTACTGTACACTGGACTCTGTAAGTACACTTTGATTAGGTACATAATAATCAGTCCTTTTCCTTTTTGTTACTGTGTTTTATTGTTGGTATACAATGTTTATGTCAAATTTTTGGACTTGCTTGTGTTCTTAAATTTACCCATCAACAGATCAACCCCTAGCTTTTATTTTAATTTTCTTAGTAGTTGAAAATAAACATGAACACAACGAGGTTATCGAGTCAGCTAGTCTAGTCACACATTCTCCTCTTTACATCCACATGTACGTGTAGGTACTGTGCCTCGCTATGTACTAAGTTAGAGCTATTTGTTCAATTTGATACGAAAGTTTGTCGGGAGTGGAGTACTACAGATTACCCATAGTACTTCACTTTGTTGTTTTGCATGTTACGTAAAACCTTTTCATTCAACACATGGTTCAGTCAATGTAAATAGTCTCGTATTAAATTACTGATGTATTCCTTTGTTCCTACAACACACATTAAAGGACAACTTTTATTTAAGGTGAAGGTGGTTATATTGGGACAGGACCCATATCACGGACCAAAACAAGCTCACGGTATGTATAAAGTAGACTTTTACTATATCTCTGTCTAAGCCTTATACAAGTCTACAGCCGAGTAGAGTAGAACGTTATGTCATTTGTGCATCGGAAAACTTGTCAACCCATTAGGAAAAGGAGTGAGTCTGATTATAGTACATAGTAAGAGTAACACGTTGACTGTAGGGTAATAGAAATATTTAAACAAAAATATACAGTTTACTTCCAAAGAGAAAAAAAGTCTCTATAAACAGAGTTTGACTGCTCACATATACTTTTTTTATGGTACTACAAAAAACGGTGAAAAAGATCTTTTTTTTAAAAGTCCCCTGTTAGTGTAAGCACGAGTATAAGCATCTCTTGTTTTGTCTCGGATTGAGCTTTATTGTACATGACTTGTGTTTTCCAGGGCTGTGTTTCAGCGTACAGAAAGGGGTGAAGTCTCCACCAAGGTAAGAAAATACAGGTCAAGATAGTATGAAGGACCAACCTGATGACTGGTGAGTGGTCATATACATTGTAGTGTCTATTACCCCAGAAGGGAGACGAGATTGTATTAGTACCGGTAGTTGGTTCTTCTTTTTCTGGTTCTTCTAACATAATCTTGTCCGGACTGTAACTTTAAATCATTAAAGGTATCTTGAAGAAACATTAAGTATACCTGCATCACCTTTAGAGGATGTGCAGTGCACTGTCATTAGGTACCTGTGATTTTGACCTCAAGGTCAAAAGTCAAATAAATGCAAAGTTTTCAGGAATATCTTGTCTGGGCGCAAGTTTTAAACTGTTTAAGGGGAGATATTCATTTTTCACAAAAACAAATCTCAAGTTCATTGTAAAGAGATATGCCAAAAGTTTTTGTGCCTGGTGAATCTTACTACACATGATTTTAGGTCTTTCAATACAGGATCTGTATCTCGCACTGAAACTACAGATTTCATATAACCCTAATTGAATGAATTATAATCTTTGTCACTTGCTTCTTACTGATTACAGCAATTTTATATGAAAAAGGCAGTTTGATTTCCCTTATAAGTGTTTGATTTCTGAAATAAGTAGTTTGGTTTCAGAAATCAAAGATATGTAACATTATTACAAATCTCCATCACTGTTTAGGCTCATTGCTTGGTGCTGGTGTTAAAAGAGAAAAGAGACAAAATGACATATTTTCAAACCCAGTTAAAGTGTGATTATTGTACAGAATGGTTACCATGGTCATATACAGGCCTTTTTTGTGGCCAAATATGGGCCAGTTCTCCTCTCCAATTTTGGCATTATTTCCCCCTATTTCAGCTTTATTTTCCTCTATCTCAGTTTAAAAATTCACCCATTTGTAACTAAAATACTACCACATGAATCTGTCTTGGTTCCATTTCTCTTTTAAATTTCCATCAGTTCCACAACTGAGTGATTTATTTAATTTTCCCTGTGTTGATATTCAGTGTTGCTACTTATATTTTAAAATCTATAGTGAACAGCAAGAAACAAAATTAAAGATGTAATCCATGCCCCTCCCCCCGTACTCTCCCTCTGGCTCTTGCCTGCAGACCTGGCTGGATGGGTCATGCACCTACAGCGCATATTTTCCCCTATTTTAAAAAAGGGTACTAACTTTCTATTCCTGCATTAATCCCTGGTTACATAAATGTAAATAGGACTTTATGATATATATATACTAGCGGAAAAAAGAAACTGTGCATGCCTAAAATGTGTTATAAAAATAAATGTGTATGACGTAGAACAACAAGGTTTTCAGGGACAATTTATTTGTTACTTATTAACAGTTGCATTCCATTTTCCACGTTACGGAATCAATAAGTTCCGCTCAGGAGTGACGTAAACACAGCAGGGGTCAATACTGTGTTCACAAAAGTCCACCGTTTGCCTGAATGCAAGCCTGGCAATGTCGACGCATCGAGCCTATCAGCAGTTCAAGAATGCTTGTGGGATGGCATTCCAGATTTGTACCAATGCTTCAGGCAAATCAGCCAACGTGACCAGTTGATTAGGTAATGCCCGTAATCTGCGCTTCATTTCATCCTAGACGTGTTCAATGTGCGACAGATCGGGGGATACAGCAGGCCAGGGCAACACGGCAACGTTCTGCTGGGCCAGAAAGACCATAGCGACACGAGCTGTGTGTGGCCTGGCGTTGTCCTGCTGTAGCGTAATGCGACGTTGCTGCCCTTGCACGAATGGAACGACGTGGGTCCGCTGGATCTCGTCACGGTAACGTAACGCGTTCAAATTCCCATTACAAACCACCAGAGGCATTCTCCCGTTGGCTGTGATGCCGCCCCAAATCATAACGCTGCCTCCGCCGAAGGAACGTCGTTGTACCACACACGCGTCACGGAAATGTTCTTCAACGCGACGATACACTCTGGAACGGCCGTCACTTCTGTCCAGGTGGACTTGCGACTCGTCTGTAAACAATATGCCTGCCCAATCCCGTCTAGTAAATCGCAGACGCCTTCTGCACCAGTCCAGACGTGCTACACGATGACGTGGCAGAAGAACTGGGCGGATTGCAGGACGTCGCGGATGGATAGCTTGTTCACGCTATCGGTTCTGTACAGTTCTCAGGCTTATTGGTAGAAACCCAGGGATTGTCCGTGCAGTCAAACTTGCCGTTTGGAAGCGATTTCTCAAATGGACAAGCCAAATATGGTTGTCCTGTTGACGTGACTTCACATGTAGACGTCCCGCACGAGGTCGATCGCCAACGCGGCCAAACTGTTGATGTCGTCTCCACAAATCCCAGATTGTGTTTTGATGGACATGAAAACGTGTAGAGACAACGGCTTGGCCCATACCAGCTTGAAGTATACCAATAATCCGGAGGCGGTCATTTTTATTGAGTCTCGGCATATCATTAATCACAAATTAAAATGTTATAATGCTATTTTTACTGTTCACTGGTCTCAACAGAGTGACCCAACAGTTGAAAAATAAACTTTCATTGTCGAATTGGATGGCTGGACGAGAAAAACGTGCAAACTGGTCAACGCCTAGAGAGAGCAAACTGCACGGGAAAAACTGTAAATGACACACAGATAGTGTGTAAGTGTCATACTCGGTCATGTGTGTGAATTTTCATGTATATACAGTTGGTAATACATGTTCTATAACTATTCTCCGCATGCACAGTTTCTTTTACCACGCCCATCTGTGTTAATCAGGGGGCTCCGATGGCAGGAGTTTATTTTGTAGAGGTATAATGTGTCAGTTTGGCTAATTAATAACTCCTAACTCCTGCTACCATAGAAATTACCGGTAATGAATATGGATGGTATAACCTAGTAATGTGTGTTACACAATATAACACATGTAGTGTGACTTGTGTGTATAAGGTCAGGATATACATATGTATGGTATAACCTAGTAATGTATGTAACACAATATAACATATGTAGTGTGACTTGTGTGTGTATAAGGTCATGATATATGGGGCAAATAGAGACTCTTAAAAGTAGAAAGGCTTACAAGGTTAACTACTGGAGTCCTAACTGGACTCAGCATTTTGATTTCAACTTAATATAGCTTGGCATCAAATTTGTTGTAACAAATTAAAATGAAGACCTCCTATAAAACGCCTTGCTGTTGGATACTATGCTGAACTATACAGTATACATCAATAGAGAACAAGTGGGAGTATCTCATATCCTGTCAACTATTGATGGCATTGTCATGTTATTGTTAAACTATGACACAGCATTATTGACAATAAATGTAGGATTTCAAGGAATACCACAACTTGTATTAAAAATGCTTAAAATGTGACATTTTGTATTGATTACAGCTTAGAGAACATGTATAAGGAGTTGACAAGTGATATAGAGGGATTCCAACACCCTGGTCACGGCACCCTGATTGGCTGGGCTGAACAAGGTACATACATTCTCAGCTCACCTGACCAAGGACACATAACCACATGTAGAAAAATAATAGGCATAAAAAAACAGATACAGCCATGCTACCGATATTGGTCTGGGGTCCAGCCCCACCCTGGAGACCTAATGCATCATGTTTTGGAATTGACCAAGATCCCGACCCTAAAACCACACATATCTTTACCGGGCATTAACAGATAAATACAGCCATGCTACCGACATTGGTCTGGGGTCCACCGCCACCCTGGAGACCTAATGCATCATGTTTTAGAAATGACCAAAGATCTCAACCCTAAAACCACACATATCTTTACCGGGCATTAACAGATAAATACAACCATGCTACTAGGATGAGTCTTGGGTCCAGCCTTGCCGCTTAAAATAATCAGATGAGCATTATAAGGCCTCTGACCCTCTTGTTTATTTCTATGGTAGGTTAACTTTTATTGTTTATATATCTCTATACATGTAACAGATCTGATCACCAGTGATCATCAGATAGCTAATTATTCTGTTGTGTCTTTTGAGTTTTCGGGTCCTGGGTTTTAAACTTTGAATCCTGATAACTCACACACCATAAAGTGTAGAACATTAGGCCTGTTTACAATATAAAATTAATAGACAACGTGCTATCTATTTGTGTGACATTTATAATGGTGCTTGAGACAAAAGAATCTTTCAAAAATTGAAAAATGAAATAGTATTATATATTTACCCAATCTGTAAGTGTTGTTTATCTTTTAGGTGTGCTGTTATTAAACTCATGTCTGACTGTGCGGCAACACCAAGCCAACTCCCACAAAGACCGAGGCTGGGAGAAATTCACAGATGCTGTCATATCATGGCTCAACAAAAACATGACAGGACTGGTGTTCATACTGTGGGGGTCATACGCACAGAAAAAGGGATGTTTTATAGACAAGGTACACAATACTTCTAGACTACTGAAAACCTGAATATTTTTGATGTGGTAATATTTTGATTTATTGATGCCCTGCTTATAAAACAGACTGAATTATACATATACTTTGCAGTGAAGTTTTTGCCTAGTTTAAAGTCAACTACAGGCTGCTTCCCCAGGCAATTCATGTAGGAACAGGCTGTTGTAATATTTAGGTTGCCTTGACAAAGTTGTGATTAATTGATAGAATCTCCTTCTACCTTGAAGGTGTGACAGAGAAATCTCCAACCCAAGGGGTGATTTATTTGGATGTCTGATGATTTCTCTGTTACACCCTCAATGTAGGGAATGATTTTATTTTCTCCCAACATTCCAATAATACATGTATATTTAAAAACAACAGTTTTCAGCTTGCATGACTAATTATTCTGGAAACCAAAAGGCCTTTGGTGATGATATTTGGCCAGTATCAAATGACCTATTGCGATCGCCTTTTGTCCGGCGGCGGCCGACGTGCGTCTGTAAACAATTTACATTTTCGACTTCTTCTCAAAAAACCCTGAACCAATTTCAATGAAAATTCCAAAAAGAGTCAAATTGACTGAAATTTCAAAATTATTATTCTCAAGACCCAGATATGGTAGAATCAAATACTCTTCATAGATAGAAGGGTCTTAATATGCTTTACCAAAATTGTGAATTTCATGACCCTGGGGTCTCACGTTTCCCCCTGGGGGGTAAACTTTACTATAGTTTATATAGGGAAATAACATTTTTAACCAACATATGTTCAATTTCCATTGGAATTAATTCAAACTTGGTTAGCAATATCAGTATTTGGTAGCAGTTTGACGGTATGCACATATGAGCCCTGACTGACCCCAAGGGTCTGACAGGTGGGGCCAAAAAGGGTTGAATTGACTGAAATTCCAAAAGTATTCTTTTCAAGACACAGTTATGGTAGAATCAAATACTTTTCAAAGATGGAAGGGTCAAGGTGCTTTACCAAAATTGTGAATTTCATGACCCTGGGGAGGGGGTAAACTTTAGTATAGTTTATATAGGGAAATCACATTTTTGACCAACATTTGTTTAATTTCCATTGGAAGTAATTCAAACTTGCTTAGCATTATCAGTATTAGATAGCAGTTTGATAGTATGCACCTATCAGCCCTGACTGACCCCCAGGGGCTGATGGGTGGGGCCAAAACTGGTCAAATTAACTGAAATTTCAAAGTCTTCTTCTCAAGTCCCAGATATGGAAGAATCAAATACTCTTCATAGATAGAAGGGTCTTAATATGCTTTACCAAAATTGTGAATTTCATGACCCTGGGGTCTCACGTTTCCCCCTGGGGGAGGGGGGGGGGGGGGGGGGGGGCAACATTTATTATGGTTTATACAAAAATGTATTGGCAAATGATACTTTGGATATTACATGTTGATAACTTGATTGGAATTATAACCCTGAGTTGACAGTTTAATACTTTGAAAATTTTGAGCCAGCCCTACCCCCAAGGGCAGTAGGGCGGGGCCCAAAGGAGTCAGTGTGCCTAAAATGTCTTCATTTTCCTTGTTTAGAATCAAAGGTCCTAGTTTCAAATACTTTTCAGTCTTAAATCTGTATGCTAGATATTGAATAAGGTGGTTTTATTGATTTTTGTCGCTTTGAATAATATTTCTGTTCATGTGTTATAAACAAAAATCAACTCTCTGTATAAATATATCAGAACTCAGGTGACCGTTAAGGCCCATGGGTTCTTGTTCAAATAAATAACCATCAACCATATTCAGGGTCACAGGCATACATGCCATAACTTTCCGGTGCAAAATAGTGAGATCAGTGATTATTTTTAGTGAGATTTGGTAAAAAATAGTGAGATTTTTTCTCTGAATTCATGAGAAATTCGTGAGACATTTAAAACATAAATTATATAGCATATATCATAGTATTGAATCATTTGTGCTATCCTGAAGCCTCTAATTACTTTGTTAAAGCCATAATTGAAGATTTTTTGATATTTTAAAGGATATTAGGAAGGTTAACACGTGACATACGGTCCAGATAAAGCTATCAATATTTAAAAGTAAATAAATCACATAAAAGGCAAAAAATAATAGTAATTAAAAAAAGAAGAAATTCCACAAGGATTAGAAAAAATATATATCTCAAAACATTGGGAATATTTAAATCTAATTTGTTGGGAAAAAAATAACCAATAAATACTTTTTATAACCAATAAATACTTTTTTTATATATCCAATTCTGAGGAAACTTGTTTCCTTCTGTTTATGTTATTTTAATTAACACTCAATCCCATCCCGACGGCAAGAGAATTAATTCCGTATTCAATGTCAGTGCCCGGTTTCGATTTTATAGTCACCTCAAACATTAACCATGTTTTTGATTGTAATGAATTAACAGCTCTTAAGTTGCTGTTTAATGTTAATATCAACTGTCATCACATATTAATTAGCAACTAGCCCCCACTGGATGTGGGGTCACAGATTTAATTGCTTAACACATCGGTGAGCAAGTCATCAAGCCATCAAGCCATGCCCCGCTAAATCGGTTGGCCGTGCCATTCAGAACTTTCACACCTAAGCTGCTAATTGGCCTGGCCTGTAATTTAAGTGGCTGGCGTGTGACTTCAGACCTCGCGGTGACCAAGGTCAGTGTGAATCCATGTAGCTATTGTTTATTCACTAAGATTGACCAAATTTGTGTCTTTTCGTGAGATCAAATTATTTGCAACAAAAAGCGTGAAAATGGGTTCCCACACCGTGAGACATTTTGGAAGGCTGTTTTTCGTGAGTCTCACGCCTAAATCGTGAGATATAGCATGAATGCACAGGGGTCAGATATTCTTTAAAATCTGTAAGTTACTTGCTCTGTATAACAACAATAGGCCAAGGATGATGATATTTGGCCAGTTATATTCTTGAATGAATGCTGTAACGTGACTCGAACCTGCAACCCTTTGGTCACGAGACCGGTGTCCTACCACTAGACTACTATGCCTCCTAATTAAAAAGGGCTATCAACTTTGTTCAAACAAATTTCATTTATAAGCTCTGATTGACATGCATGTCTTTCATCCTAAATTTTTTTGTCCATATAAAATTATGTAACTGATGTTCATCTCTGATTTCATCTTTTCAAACTTCAGAATTTGACTTTATTACATACACTGCTGTTCTTTATTTCCTCTGCTGAGGCTTTTGTAATATTGAGTTGTATTAGGTATTTCTGCCTTGTTAGTTTGTCCGATATCTTCACCAGACATTTGGGGCAATAGTTCACTTACTTCTGGTTATTTATGGGTAGTCGAATGACGCAGTGGATAGCGCACTTGCCTTTCACCAAGGCGATCAGTGTTTGATTCCCCGATTGAATGTGAAAAGGTATGTGGTCACCTGATGACCACATGGGCTTTTTCCGGGTACTCCAGTTTCCTCCCACAGTAAGACCCCCCCACCCCACCCCTGTACTCCGGTTTCCTCCCACAGTCAGACCCCCTGTACTCCGGTTTCCTCCCACAGTAAGGCCCCCTGTGCGCTAACAGCCGGGCTAACAATAGTGTTCGGTATAAGTTGTAAAAACTTGTTTCATAATTGTTGCAAAAGAAATAAAGTTTATGTTATATTACTTCTGGTGTATGTGAAATACTATTTTGCCATCCTGTATTGTACATCTTCAGGGTTATGAATTTCATATTGTAAGGTTGTTTATTCATGTACATCGATAAAACAATAAATGCTATACAACAAGCAGCAGAATCTGGAATATGTTCTGTAAGAGCAACTCTATTTAGCTCACCTAGTGCATAGCAGTTCAATCTTTCATAAAGATGGGACCTACTTAATGTTTAGCATGCTGCGATGAAGTGCCACCCTGTACAGAATAAGAGTCCTTATACAAATTCTGAATAATCATAGTCAAGGTGTTTATTGACGACATCCATTTATGTCTAGCCTTATGTTTGTCCTACTATATCAGTCTTCTACACCTTTATTCAGACGAAACCAAGTACAGCCGCTTCCCAAAAAACCCAACCTTATGAAGGTTATTGGAAAATTGGAAAAACACACATTTGCTGGAAATGAAGAAATAAAGTCTTTTTGTTATTGTGTCTTACTTTAATTTAATTCAGTAAATGTTTGTTTAATCATCTCCCTCCGTCCATTCTTCTAATGATGATGATAATGATAATTTGAGGTTCTTATACACCGTTTTATCACAATATATTTTATAGGTCGTCTCAAAGCTGTTCACAAATTATTTTCCGAGGTTATAGGGCCTTTGCAACTAGCCAATATATCTTTCTCAACTCCCTGGGGAGCATACACCCGGTGCTGCCCTTTCAGCGTTCACAGCTAGCACTCAACAATTCTAGCACTGCATGCCCAACCACATACTCATTTACAGCTGAGTAGACTGGACCAAGCGGAGTAAAGTATCTTGTATCTCTTGTCTACACATCTGAAGGGACTTCAGTAGTGAGACCTCCCATGTAATATGATGGCTGTGACATCACTTGTCTACACATCTGTAGGGACTTCGGTAGTGAAACCTCCCGTGTAATATTCCCGTGTAATATGATGGCTGTGACATCACTTGTCTACACATCTATAGGGACTTCGGGTAGTTCCCTGTCTGGAATAGAAGTGTCGCTAAGTACAAAAGTTCAGTGCATGTTCCAGTTGCGGCACAATTGATGATCTGGTGTTTACACTTCCCTGTGATCTTGTACATGGTTTTGTTGTTGGTAGATTCAGCCAAGTGATGCTGATAACTTTGCTGTGCCATTAAAGAGATGTTCCTCAATGTATACGCATACACGATTGCTTCCTCCACCTCTGACTGTGATTTCATTAGTAAACTAATCGATGGTATCATTGAACTAGATTGATTAGAAACAATGGCCAACCCAAATAGGATGCCTATATCCTATTTGTATTCAGTTTCTTTTACATGTTGTGGCCACCCGAGTTCTCTTTGTGTTTTGGTATCACAAATCCTTTCCAATAATGGTGGTTGAAATATTTTTTCCAAAAGATAGGCACATTACCTTATTTTTATGAAAATAATTCAGAATATGGAAAAGTTTTTTCCTTTTGGCTATTGACTAGGAACATGTTGTTGGCTGGGATGAAGTAGTTAGGTAAGTGTCCTGCTTTGACATATGATATAAAGAATGTGGAAGCAAAACAAGAAACAGAAAAACAAATTCTGTTTCTGCCAAATGTTTCCATGAGAATTTTCTATTGCGAAAAGCATGACTGATTTCAAGTATTCAGACAATAAAATATTAACATCTCCAGTGATACTTGTCAGTGTATCTTCGATTTCTATGAAGAAATATTTCAGCAAACAATACGCTTTTATCTGGATTTGACTGAAGGAGTAAACTAAGGATCTTTCTGCTGATGCAAATGATATCCTCCATTGTGACTTCGTTTCCTCAGAACACGGGTCTCCTTGTGGGACGAGACGACAACCTTTCTCTATCAGCATTTGTGATGGCCATCCATAAAGACGTGTACGTCTCACCCATTCATTTGTAGCCCTAGGCCAACTGTTAAAATGAAAACAGTGTATGAAATCTGTTCTACCCGATGTACCACTCTGTACGCTAGAGTCACTTGGTAATCCCATGTCCCTAGGTTTGTTGACATTTTGTTCTCGGAAAATATCGCTTGACACAAATGTGACATCCCGAGCTTTAAAAAATGAATTGTGTAGCACTGTGCTGCACATCTGTCCTGTATGAACTAGTTGTAAGGCTACATACCCGGGTGGGCAGTCAGCCTCATTGATCTGCAGTATAGTCGTGTCAGCACAAGCTGGAGGAACACTCTGTTCAGGGTAAATGACCACCACATGATTGTCTATAATCATGATGTTAATATCTAAACCAAGCATGTAGATGCCCTCTGATGCACTCCCACACAGAATGTACTGTTGCCCTGGCCACTATTATGAACGTGCTCCTCTATGAGTATGACCTTTCACCTATTGTTGATCTCCTCATTTGTCCCTGTCACATTCGATTCCTGTCGAGGTAAGTTGACAGCAGTACAGAGTTATCCTCATTGTCCCAGGAACATGCCATAACTGCCCTCACATGAAATCTGCAACGAAATGGAATTCTGTTTGAAACCTTAGTTTGAAATATTTTGGGCTCAGGGGCAAAGATATGCCCAATGAAACCAGTATGTTTGACCGGGGAAATCTAATGTAAACAGTAAAACTGATACAACGGCTGTTCAGTACAGATGTACTGAACCATCTGCCTAGTAATCTGTCATGTAACTATATAAAACTGAAAGTGTGGGGCCTCGATCAGGTCAACATAGAAATGGCCTACATAACCTGTATAAATAAAATGATTCAAACTATTGAGATCCTATATTTAGGCCGTTACTGGTATCTCTCATCAACATTGTATACTTGTTGCATAAATAGATAATGTGAAATGTAGTCCAAGGCTGTAGCTTATTGACTACTCCGGTATTTAAGTTCATTTTAGTCTCTATTCTCTATTAAGGCAGGTAAACACCGGTTATGCTCGTATACGGTGACTGAACTTTGAATTTCCACAATAGTTGTGTGTAGCTGTTTACATGTGCTTACACACTGTGATGTCTGTGGACAAGGGTAAATTTAAGTATCTACCTGATGGGGATATTGAATTACTATTTAAAGCCACATGGCCCATTACCAAAATAATAAAAAAAAAACAGCGTTTACCTTATGATCTGATAACTACAACTTGTACTGGAGGGTTCCCTATAATTGTGTCACATCAGATCTAGTTGAAACTATCGAAAAATTGATCACAGAATATTTAAAACTGACATAAATTCCTTGCAATTTCAGAAGAAGCACTGTGTTCTACAAGGGGTCCATCCTTCACCACTGTCGGCTCATAGAGGCTTCTTTGGTTGTAAACACTTCTCCAAGTGTAATTCCTACCTTGAAGAGAAGGGAAAGACCCCCATAGACTGGACCCTGATGCCCCCACAGGACTAGGCCAACAGCTGGTGCCCCTACAAGACTAGCTCAGTACAGCATTGTTACGGTGCTATCAGCCTGATGAAGAAGAACATCAGGCAGCCTATCTTGTGGCTCTACAGAGGAGAACATTAGTACTGGCATCTTTGTGACTTCGAGACCTGATTCCTGAAAGGAAAAATATTTTGATCTAATGAAACCTCAAAAATAATGCAGTTCTTGTGTTTTAGCCATTAATACTGCAACAAGGAGTTGCTTTTGATCAAATTGTTGATTTTTGCTGTTGTTTTCAAAATATCTGTTAAAGTCTTTTTGAACAGTTCATTGATGGTTTTTGCTTAATCTCAAATTATCATGCCGATGTTTTGAAACCATGTTATGAATTTCTTCATCACCATTTTGAATCATTCAGTTATTATTGAATAAAACTGGCACAATTTGTTGTTGTATCTAGTTCAGTATTCACATTTACTCTTGATTTGGTGTAGACTTTCCAAACATTACAGTGATATGGTCACCTGATACAAGTTTTAAAGATTTGAAAGACTCATGACTTTTGGAGGACTACCCTGTCACAATGAAAGATTACAGTGTCATGATGACCCAGTGACTTTGAAAGATTGCAGTGTCATGTTGACCCAGTGACTCTAAAAGGCTGCAGTGTCATGTTGATCAAGTGACTTTGAAAGATTGCAGTGTCATTTTGATCAAGTGACTGAAAGATTGCAGCGTCATGTTGATAAAGTGACTCTGAAAGATTGCAGTGTCATGTTGATCAAGTGACTAAAAGATTGCAGTGTCATGTTGATCAAGTGACTCTTGCAGTGTCATTTTGATCAAGTGACTGAAAGATTGCAGCGTCATGTTGACCCAGTGACTCTGAACGATTGCAGTGTCATGTTTATCAAGTGACTCTGAAAGGCTGCAGTGTCATGTTGATCAAGTGGCTTTGAAAGATTGCAGTGTCATGTTGATATTGCAGTGTCATGTTGACCAAGTGATGCTGAAAGGCTTCAGTGTCATGTTGATCAAGTGACTGAAAGATTTGAAAGACTCATGACTTTTGGAGGACTACCCTGTCACAATGAAATATTGCAGTGTCATGCTGACCCAATGACTTTGAAAGATTGCAGTGTCATGTTGACCAAGTGACTCTGTATGGCTTCAGTGTCATGTTGATCAAGTGACTGAAAGATTGCAGCGTCATGTTGACCCAGTGACTCTGAACGATTGCAGTGTCATGTTTATCAAGTGACTCTGAAAGGCTGCAGTGTCATGTTGATCAAGTGATTTTCCAAGACTGCAGTGTCATGATGACCCAGTGACTTTGAAAGATTGCAGTGTCATGTTGACCAAGTGATGCTGAAAGGCTTCAGTGTCATGTTGATCAAGTGACTTTGAAAGATTGCAGTGTCATGTTGATCAAGTGACTCTGAAAGATTGCAGTGTTATGTTGATCAAGTGATTTTCCAAGACTGCAGTGTCATGATGACCCAGTGACTTTGATAGATTGCAGTGTCATGTTGACCCATTTACTCTGAAAGGCTGCAGTGTCATGTTGATCAAATATATCATGTCATGTCATGTTGATCAAGTGAGTCTGAAAGATTGAAGTGTCATGTTGATCAAGTGAGTCTGAAAGTGTCATGTTGATCAAGTGCCTGAAAGATTGCAGTGCCATGTTGATAAAGTGGCTCTGAAAGATTGCAGTGTCATGTTGATCAAGTGATTTTCCAAGACTGCAGTGTCATGATGACCCAATGACTTTGAAAGGCTTCAGTGTCATGTTGATCAAGTGACTGAAAGATTGCAGTGCCATGTTGATAAAGTGACTCTGAAAGATTGCAGTGTCATGTTGATCAAGTGAGTCTGAAAGATTGAAGTGTCATGTTGATCAAGTGACTGAAAGATTGCAGTGTCATGTTGATCAAGTGACTCTGAAAGGCTGCAGTGTCATGTTGATCAAGTGACTTTCAAAGACTGCAGTGTCATGATGACCCAGTGACTTTGAAAGATTGCAGCGTCATGTTGACCAAGTGACGCTGAAAGGCTTCAGTGTCATGTTGATCAAGTGACTTTGAAAGATTGCAGTGTCATGTTGATCAAGTGACTCTGAAAGATTGCAGTGTTATGTTGATTAAGTGACTGAACGATTTGAAAGACTCATGACTTTTGGAGGACTACCCTGTCACAATGAAAGATTAGTGTCATGTTGACCCATTTACTCTGAAAGGTTGCAGTGTCATGTTGATCAAGTGACTTTGAAAGATTGAAGTGTCATGTTGATCAAGTGACTGAAAGATTTGAAAGACTCATGACTTTGGAGGACTACCCTGTCCCAATGAAAGATTACAGTGTCATGCTGACCCAGTGACTTTGAAAGATTGCAGTGTCATGTTGATCAAGTGACTCTGAAAGATTGCAGTGTTATGTTGATCAAGTGACTTAAAGATTTGAAAGACTCATGACTTTTGGAGGACTACCCTGTCCCAATGAAAGATTACAGTGTCATGATGACCCAGTGACTTTGAAAGATTGCAGTGTCATGTTGACCCATTTACTCTGAAAGGCTGCAGTGTCATGTTGATCAAGTGACTTTCAAAGACTGCAGTGTCATGATGACCCAGTGACTTTGAAAGATTGCAGTGTCATGTTGATCAAGTGACTGAAAGATTGCTGTGTCATGTTGATCAAGTGACTCTGAAAGATTGCAGTGTTATGTTGATCAATTGCTCTGAAAGATTGCAGTGTCATGTTGACCCAGTGACTCTGAAAGATTGCAGTGTCATGTTGATCAAGTGACTTTGAAAGATTGTAATGTCATGTTGACCCAGTGACTCTGAAAGGCTGCAGTGTCATGTTGATCAAGTGACTCTGAAAGACTGCAGTGTCATGTTGATCAAGTGACTCTGAAAGATTGCAGTGTCATGTTGATCAAGTGACTTTGAAAGGCTGCAGTGTCATGTTAATCAGGTGACTCTGAAAGTTTGCACTCTGAAAGGCTGCAGTGTCATGTTGATCAAGTGAGTCTGAAAGATTGCAGTGTCATGTTGATCAAGTGACTTTGAAAGGCTGCAGTGTCATGTTAATCAAGTGACTCTGAAAGATTGCACTCTAAAAGGCTGCAGTGTCATGTTGATCAAGTGGCTCTGAAAGATTGCAGTGTCATGTTGATAAAGAAAGGCTGAAGTGTCATGTTGATCAAGAGACTCTGAATGATTGCAGTGTCATGTTGACCCAGTGACTCTGAAAGATTGCAGTGTCATGTTGATCAAGTTACTCTGAAAGATTGTAGTGTCATGTTGACCCAGTGACTTTGAAAGATTGCAGTGTCATGTTGATCAAATATATCATGTCAAAGACTACAATGTAAAGTTAAAAAAAAAGTGTTGAGTTTTACGTACTTGTATTTGTTTTGTCCTGTAAACATGTATTTCTATGAATGGAATTGAATTGTGCTTGTTAGACCATTAGTGAAGATAAATCATTGTTTTTATTGAAAAAAGTCATGTTTTTCTATATGATACATGCACATAGTACTGAAAAAACGTTTAGAAATAAATGCATAGATATTTATCTTCAAGCATGATCTGACGAATCCTCATTTACATTGTGGGTCTCTGTTAAGGACAAAAATTATATGGTTATGTTGGTTTGTTGGTTTTTAGGTCACCTGAGACAAAGTCTCAAGTGACCTATTGCGATCGACTTTTGTCCGTCGTCGTCCGTCGTCCGTCGTGCGTCCGTAAACAATTTTACATTTTCGACTTCTTCTCCAAAACCCCTGAACCAATTTCAATGAAAATTTGCAGAAACCTTCCATGGCCAAAGGTCAACTAAAATGAAGAAATATATGGTCCCCAGACCCCAGGGGCCTGAGGGGCGGGGCCAAAAAGGGTCAAATTGACTAAAATTTCAAAAATCTTCTTCTCAAGATCCAGATATGGTAGAATCAAATACTCTTCATAGATGGAAGGGTCGTCAGGTGCTTTACCAAAATTGTGAATTTCATGACCCTGGGGTCTCACGTTTCCCCCTGGCGAGGGGGTAAACTTTACCATAGTTTATAAAGGGAAATAACTTTTTGGACTAACATTTGTTTAATTGCCATTGGAAGTAATTCAATTTGGGTTAACATTATCAGTATTGGATAGCAGTTTGATGGTATGCACATATCAGCCCTGACTGACTCCCCGGGGCTGATGGGTGGGGCCAAAAAGAGTTGAATTGACTTCTTCTCAAGACCAGATATGATAGAATCGAATACTCTTCATAGATGGAAGGGTGCTCTACCAAAATTGTGAATTGTATGACCCTAGGGTCTCACGTTTACCCCTGGGGAAGGAGGGGGGGGGGACAAAATTTGTTATGGTTTATAATGGCAAATGATACCTTGAATATTACATGTTGTTAACTTGATTGGAATTATAACCCTAAGTTGACAGTTTGATACTTTGAAAATGTTGAGCCATCCCTACCCCAAGGGCTGTAGAGTGGGGCCCAATGGAGTCCGTGTGCTAAAATAAAATTTCTTCATTTTCCTTGTTTAGAATCAGAGGTGCTAGTTTCAAATACTTTTCAGTCTTAAATCTGCATGCTAGATATTGAATAAGGTGGTTTTATTGTTTTTTGTCACTTTGAATAATATTTCTGTTCATGTTAAAAACAAAAATCAACTCTCTGTATAATATATCAGGTGACAAGTAAGGCCCATGGGCCTCTTGTCTTAGATTTGTGTTCAGCATTCTTCCTGTGATGCATATGACGTACATGTTTACCACTTACGAACTGGTGGTGATGTACATTATTTTACACATATATTTCATACTCTTGCTTTCCTTTCCTTACTCTATTCTTTCCTTCAATTTCATGCGTCATATTCACGACAAGTGAATCACCTTAACCTCTCATATTGGGAATCTGTAAACAAATAAAAGGCATTCTAATTAAATTCATGAATAACCATAGTTTTTATGCCACTTATTTTGTGGTTATTCACCGAATGTACAAGTCTGTAAATAGATAAACATGCTATGGACATGAGAGATAATGCTGAATGTTAACAATCTCGTTTTGAATTAGAAATATGTAAGTACTCCTTCATCTGCGTAATACATGCAGATCTAAATACTACTAGTAGTGGGAAATCATAAGTATTACGTTAATATTAAAGACAAGTTAATCATGCGTCAATCCTTGTCAATAAACCAGATTAAATGGTAACACATAATAGGTTATTAATAGCAAATGTCGTAATGATTTTGCAGCTCATAGGATCGCCACTGAAATCACGTACCATGACAATCCGCATGTGCCAAATGCCTTCCTTGCTCTATTCTACAAATGAATATTCATGAGCCTACTCCTTGCGATAATAATGACAATGTAAACTTTGGATACCAGGTTTCTGCCTTTTTCGAAACGAAGAAAATGTATTAATTAGTTTCCTTTTGTTAATTGGGAAACACCTCATCAATAGTTTGTCTTTATATAAAATACCCACGTGATCAATTGGATATTTACGTCATTCCTCCATGTCTATATAACATTTTCAGCTACTTCCTCCTTGTTTATTTCCACAGCGTAGTGTAGTATTGGGAGGTCACACTTTGTACCACTGTAGGGTAAGTAACCCTATACTATTTATTTTAATGTCACACGAAGAGTTATGTCGGAAGACATATTCTAATGTTTTATATGGTTATATAGCGCATTAATTAAACACGAAGATTATAAAATGTGGAATAGAATGTTAAAAATCTGAATGGTATGCAGTATGGACCAATGTTGTGTAATGTCTATGTATGAATACAGAACGGGGTTATAGGCATAGGTTTTATCTATAGTCGGGCATTCCAAGCAGGAGACAAACACAATAGCCATTTAATGGAGTAAACCACTACAATAACGTGATACGTGAAGTTGTATCGTTTAACTGTTAATTTTATGAAAGCTTTGTATGGTGGGATTACGTTAAGTTATGTTTTTGTTACAGCTCGGTCTATAAATAATCACACTCAAATCTTCCAGCATTTCAATCAATGCAATTATATTGTATGAAATATTCATTCTGTTGATAAATATTTGTCTACTTTTTTTTCGACTATTAAAGTATTGTAAATGGAATAAAAACACTACGTTTAAAGTTTCGTTTTGAATTCTATGAAAAATAGCTATTGATAGTTACACCTCATACATGTACACGTCATGCCTGAGCAACTTAAGGTTATTTCATGTTGTTTATCCTTACAAAAATGTAATAAGACTCATTGTGGGATAGATACACCGAACTTTTTATCACAGGCAGGCAAGTAACACTACGTCTCTCAGATTATAAGTAGACATATGAAAGATGAAATAAGGAGTTGTTAAAAATGGTTGATTGTTATTAGTCCCTGCTTAATACAAGACAAAGATTAAACAGAGGGACGGGGCCCATTGGGGAAAGATGTATTATGTACATCTTTAAAACCTATTTCCTTCTCTATGAATAGAGCATCATTGGGCCAAGTAGACTCAATTTTGGTATTAAAAGATGTTGTGGCCGAGTGTGTACAAGGGATCCTTGTTATATAAACGAATATGGGTCATATCTTGGAAACGGTCGAACCGTTTATTTAGACAACATTCATCCCAGCAGGATTTTCCCTGTGTTCAAATAAGGAGTTAGTCCATAACATGAATGGTTGAAATCCCATCTCATTCGAAAACATAAACACACCTTTGCCACCAAAAGTGTTCATAGTTTCTACTAGCCAGTGTTGTGACTAAAGAAAAAAATATGGACATAACTTTGAAAGTTTAAATATTATGCTCGACATCAAACAGAGACAGCCATGTCACTTCAATCTGCTCTGGGTTCCGTTCCCATTCTTTCGGGTGTGGCCAAATAGGGAAATGGGTCATTAACTGAAAATGCTTGAAATCCCAACCCTCCACCCATTCTACAGTTGGTCTGTCCCAATTCAATGAGACAAAGTCTTCTGGTTACAAAATGTCAACGGAGGTGATCCCCGTCCTATAACTATATAGTTAATTCCTTGTCATGAACAGAGATGAATACACATATTGCACTGCGATTGGTTAAAGGGTCCAACTCTGCCGCTGGAACCTTAGTTTCTAAATCATTATACACAGACTTCATTTATTTTACATCAATTATAAAACGAGTTATTTCAAATTATATTAATCACTCTTGTTGGCCCGTATATTACCGCGCTGGGGGTTTTAATCTGGGAGCAAACTGGAATACAAGACGAAAACCGACGTGGTCGGGCAGGTGAACCCCATACCTTTTCACGTCCGATCAGAGAATCGATCCCGGTCGCCTTGTTTAAAGCCGAGTACGTTATGGTATCAGAGTTTTTCAAAAACTGTTTTCCCCAGATTTGGGACTTGTGAAAACCATGGTAACCACATCAAAAAACACACAAAAAGGCAAAATATCATGATTTCTTAACTTTTATCTCGATATCTTTGACTTACAATGGTATACAAAAATATGTAACATACATAGATTTAATGTATAAGCATGCGTGGATGTACAGAGGGATACAAGTATCATAGTAAAAAAGGTGTACTGCAGTTACATATAATACATGTAGTCACTAATGATATGCGATGTTAAGTTTCCGGACAGATCTAAATTATGGCCTATCATTTGCTGGGTCATTTCAGGCTATAACAATATCTGCTTAGATTGATGGACCACAATAAAAGTTGTTTAATTGAATATTTTATGTCCCTATGTAAAAGTGTGCAGTGTCACTACGAACACTACTGCGATCTGCGTTGATTTTTTTTATTATGACAAAATAGGTCGGGTCCTGATCGGTCGACTCTGAAAGATTGCAGTGTCATGATGACCCAGTGACTTTGAAAGATTTCAGTGTCATGTTGACCCCGTGTCTCTTAAAGATTGCAGTGTCATGTTGACCCAGTGACTCTGAAAGATTGTAATGTCATGTTGACCGAGTGACTCTGAAAGATTTCAGTGTCATGTTGACCCAGTGTCTCTGAAAGATTGCAGTGTCATGTTGACCCAGTGACTGAAAGATTTCAGTGTCATGTTGACCCAGTGACTCTGAAAGATTTCAGTGTCATGTTGACCCATTGACTCTGAAAGATTGTAGTGTCATGTTGACCCAGTGACTCAAAAAGATTGCAGTGTCATGTTGACCCAGGGACTCTGAAAGATTTCAGTGGCATGGTGACCCAGTGACTCTGAAAGATTGCAGGGACATGTTGATCAAGTGATTTTGAAAGGCTGCAGTGACATGTTGATCAAGTGGCTTTGAAAGATTTCAGTGTCATGTTGACTCATTGACTCTGAAAGATTGTAGTGTCATGTTGACCGAGTGACTCTGAAAGATTGCAGTGTCATGTTGACCCAGTGACTCTGAAATATTGCAGTGTCATGTTGACCCAGTGACTCTGAAAGATTGCAGGGACATGTTGATCAAGTGACTTTGAAAGGCTGCAGTGACATGTTGATCAAGTGGCTTTGAAAGATTTCAGTGTCATGTTGACCGAGTGACTCTGAAAGATTGCAGTGTCATGTTGAACCAGTGACTCTGAAAGATTGCAGTGTCATGTTGACCGAGTGACTCTGAAAATATTTCAGTGTCATGTTGACCCAGTGTCTCTAAAAGATTGTAGTGTCATGTTGAACCAGTGACTCTGAAAGATTGTAGTGTCATGTTGACCGAGTGACTCTGAAAGATTTCAGTGTCATGTTGACCCAGTGTCTCTGAAAGATTGCAATGTCAAGTTGACCCAGTGACTCTGAAAGATTGCCGTGTCATGTTGACCCAGTGCCTCTGAAAGATTGTAGTGTCATGTTGTCCCAGTGACTCTGAAAGATTGCCGTGTCATGTTGACCCAGTGACTCTGAAAGATTGTAGTGTCATGTTGACCCAGTGACTCGGAAAGATTGCAGTGTCATGTTGACCCAGGGACTCTGAAGGATTGCAGTGTCATGTTGACCCAGTGACTCTGAAAGATTGCAGTGTCATGTTGACCCAGTGACTTTGAAGGGCTGCAGTGACATGTTGATCAAGTGACTTTGAAAGATTTCAGTGTCATGTTGACCGAGTGACTCTGAAATATTTCAGTGTCATGTTGACCCAGTGTCTCTAAAAGATTGAAGTGTCATGTTGACCCAGTGACTTTGAAAGATTGTAGTGTCATGTTGACCGAGTAATTCTGAAAGATTTCAGTGTCATGTTGACCCAGTGACTCTGAACGATTTCAGTGTCATGTTGACCCAGTGTCTCTGAAAGATTGCAATGTCATGTTGACCCAGTGACTCTGAAAGATTGCAGTGTCATGTTGACCCAGTGACTCTGAAAGGCTGCATTGTCATGTTGACCCTGTGACTTTGGAAGGCTGCAGTGACATGTTGACCCAGTGACTTATTTTGTGGTTATTCACCGAATGTACAAGTCTGTGTAAATTGAAAAAAATGCTATGGACTTCAGAGATAATGCTGAATGTTAACACTCTAGTTTTGAACTAGAAATATGTAAGTACACCTTCATCTGCGTAATACTTGCAGATCTAAATACTACTAGTAGTGGAAAATCATGAGTATTACGTTAGTATTAAACACAAGTTAATCAGCCGTCAATCCTTGTTAATTAACCAGATTAAATGGTAACACATAATAGGTTATTAATAGCAAATGTCGTAATGATATTGCAGCTCATAGGATCGCCACTGAAATCACGTACCATGACAATCCGCATGTGCCAAATGCCTTCCTTGCTCTATTCTACAAATGAATATCCATGAGCCTACTCCTTGCGATAATAATGGCAATGTAAACTTTGGATACCAGGTTTCTGCCTTTTTCGAAACGAAGAAAATGTATTAATTAGTTTCCTTTTGTTAATTGGGAAACACCTCATCAATAGTTTGTCTTTATATAAAATACCCACGTGATCAATTGGATATTTACGTCATTCCTCCATGTCTATATAACATTTTCAGCTACTTCCTCCTTGTTTATTTCCACAGCGTAGTGTAGTATTGGGAGGTCACACTTTGTACCACTGTAGGGTAAGTAACCCTATACTATTTATTTTAATGTCACACGAAGAGTTATGTCGGAAGACATATTCTAATGTTTTATATGGTTATATAGCGCATTAATTAAACACGAAGATTATAAAATGTGGAATAGAATGTTAAAAATCTGAACGGTATGCAGTATGGACCAATGTTGTGTAATGTCTATGTATGAATACAGAACGGGGTTATAGGCATTGGTTTTATCTATAGTCGGGCATACCAAGCAGGAGACAAACACAATAGCCATTTAATGGAGTAAACCACTACAATAACGTGATACGTGAAGTTGTATCGTTTAACTGTTAATTTTATGAAAGCTTTGTATGGTGGACTGACGTTAAGTTATGTTTTTGTTACAGCTCGGTCTATAAATAATCACACTCAAATCTTCCAGCATTTCAATCAATGCAATTATATTGTATGAAATATTCATTCTGTTGATAAATATTTGTCTACTTTTTTTCGACTATTAAAGTAATGTAAATGGAATAAAAACACTACGTTTAAAGTTTCGTTTTGAATTCTACGAACTATGGCTATTGATAGATACACCTCATACATGTACACGTCATATAATGGAATTTCCAGGCCATTGTGGTAGTAATATCGCCTTAGCAACTTATTATTCAACATATTATTTTATGTTGTTTTTCCTTACAAAAATGTAATAAGACCCATTGTGGAATAGATGCACCGAACTTTTTATCACAGTCAGGCAAGTCACACTACGTCTTTCAGGTTTTAAGGAGAATTATTAAAGTTGAAATAAGGGATTGTTTAAAATGGTTGATTGTTATTAGTCCCTTCTTAATACAAGACAAAGTTTAAACAGAGGGACGGGGCCCATTGGGGAAAGATACATGTACATCTTTAAAACCCATTTCCTTCTCTATGAATAGAGCATCATTCGGCCAAGTAGACTCAATTTTGTAAAATAAAAGATGTTGTGGACGAGTGTGTACAAGGGATCCTTGCCATATAAACGAATATGGGTCATAACTTGGAAACGGTTGAACCCTTTATTCGTATATTCCGTTACCAAAAATCTTTAGACAACATTCATCCAAGCAGGATTTTCCCTGTGTTCAAATAAGGAGTTAGTCCATAACATGAAAATGGTTGAAATCCCATCTCATTCGAAAACATAAACACACCTTTGCCACCAAAAGTGTTCATAGTTTCTACTACCCAGTGTTGTGACGAAAAGGGAAAAATATGGACATAACTTTGAAAGTTTAAATATTATGCTCGACATCAAACAAAGACAGCCATGTAAATATAATTTCAACCGGTTGACGGTTTAGGAATTAGGATGAAATTATTTTCTCTTTGGTATGAGAGTAGCCAATAGGTGGCTCTAGTCGTGCTACAGGTGTTCGCACGTGCTGAGATAGTGTATATACGTGTCATTCAGGCGACACAGGTAAAGCCGTGCACACGTGAATTTTGATAGAGAGAGTTTTCGGTATACAGATGGAGGGCAGTGGTGCGAATACTGCTAGCAGTGTTACGTTAAGTGACATTTTTCAACAATTACAGAGTCAGAAATGTGAAATGAAAGCATATTTAGATACAAGGCTATGCGAAATTCAAAATGGGAGAGATGTCTCTAAAGAAATTCAAAAGCTGAAAGAGGACAAAGGTATTACCTGGAAAGGTGAGGGGAATAAGCAGCAGTATATGTTCAATACGGACCTGTTGGAGGAAGTGAATCAAGCGCGGTGGGCTATTGAAAATAAGAAGGAAGAATACTGCTCTGAAATTTTGAGTCGAGTGGTTGACAAAATTACCAAAAGGAACAAACTAATAAGAATAGCAGATAGTTCTGAGGCAGGGTGGGGGACAGTCAAAGAGTATATGGCCAATCCTCTTGCTAGTGATTCTGACGACGACAAGAAAATTTCACGCGCCGAGAATAAGGCTGTGAAAAGGTTAAAGGATAAGCAGAAAAAGAAGAAAGACGTTTTTCTCAACAGACAGAGGTCAAAGTATGGATATCAAGGTCCTAGTTTTGCGGCGGGAGCTCCGGGTCAGGTTTCTACTTCTGTGCGGCATTCTGATGGGAATCAGCTTTTTCGTGGCCAGCGGGGAAACCAGGGAGCCTGTTTTGCATGTGGGGATTTCCGACACTTCAGGAAAGATTGTCCAATCGTTAACAAATCAGCGGGACAGTCCAGGACTGGGACATAAGGACACAGAGACTCGAGAGGCTCAAGTTATCAAAGATAAGTATAGTTTATCAAATAGTGATTATACAGGAGCCTGTGCTAGTACAGAATTTACTAACGACTATTTTGAATACGAACAAGGTCAGGCTGACATTTTAGTAAAAAGCAGATTAAAAAATAATGTTGAATTTTGGAAGAATATTGGATGTTCTGAGTTTGTGTTGGACGTGATTGATAACGGTTATAAAATTCCATTTTATTCCGAACCAGAACAAGCAGAATTTAAAAATAACGTGTCAGCGTTGAAAAATGCCGAGTTTGTGGAGAAAGCTATTTTCGATCTAGAGAAACGTAAATTGATAGAAAGATGTGAGGAACCCCCATATATGACAAATCCATTAACTGTATCGATTCAATGCAATGGCAAAAAGCGTTTAATTTTGGATTTAAGGGAGGTTAATAAACATTTGTGGAAACAATCCGTGAAATATGACGATCTACGTACAGCTTTGTTGTATATAGAGAAACATGGGTGGTTGATAAAATTCGATATACATTCGGCGTATCATCACATAGATATTTATCCTCCCCACACCAAATTTCTTGGTTTTTCGTGGACTTTTGGTTCTAAAAAAGTATATTTTAAGTTCTTGGTGTTACCCTTTGGTCTGTCTACAGCGCCATATATTTTTACTAAAGTCACTAGACCGCTCATTAAGAAGTGGAGAGGTGAGGGTCTACAAATTTTGATGTATTTGGATGACGGATTGTGTCATAACACTGATAAGTTTGAATTAGTAGAACAGAGTGCAAAAGTTAAAAGTGACATTATAGATTCAGGTTTTGTGCCAAAAGCAGACAAATCTATGTGGGATCCTGTACAATTCATGACTTTTCTCGGTGTAGATATTAATACTTTATTAGGAATTCTTTGCATTCCGGAGAGACGGGTAGAGAAAGCACGTATGTGTGTTATTGACATATAAAAAGTTGTGTATAGTGGTAGGTCTGTTCATGTCAAATCTCTAGCGAGTTTTGTTGGTCAAATTATGTCGATGAGTATAGTTTTGGGCAATATTACTCAGCTGATGACTAAATGTGTTAGTATGAGTATTTTAAAAGCCCAGTCGTGGAATGATAGAATTTTTGTGGATGATAATACTATAGCTCAGATGGAATTTTGGATTAATCACATTAATTGTATTAATTCTAGAGATATCCAGTTTTCCCCACAGTGCAATAGAATAGTATCTTCTGATGTCAGCGGCACAGGGTACGGTGGGTATTGCGTCGCGTCACCGGTGGGCGTGGCACACGGTGTGTGGACTGAGAACGAGGCGTGTCAAAGTTCAACTTTCAGAGAGTTGATAGCTGAATATCGAGTGTTGTGTTCACTTGTTCATGTACTGAGAGGGACCAGGGTGAAATGGTTTTCAGATAACCAGGGTGTGGTGGCGATCGTAGAGAAAGGAAGCATGAAAGCATCTTTGCAAAATATAGCACTTGATATTTTTGTGCTTATGATACAAAATCAGATATCATTAGAAATGGAATGGGTTCCTAGAGAAGAAAATGTTTGTGCTGATTTTATCAGCAAAATTGTCGATGTTGACGACTGGGGTGTGTCTGAAAATGTTTTTCAGTTGTTTAATGACATGTGGGGTCCTTTTGATGTGGATTGGTTTGCTTCCTGGTATAATAGGAAGGTGCCTATATTTTATTCTAGGTATTGGAATCCAGGGTCTGTAGGCATTGATGCATTTTCAACAAGTTGGACTGGGAAAAACGGTTGGTTTGTTCCACCAGTGTATCTAATATCAAGAGTTATTAGGTATATGCAAATGTGCAAAGCGTATGGCACGCTAGTCATTCCTTTTTGGAAGTCTGGTAGGTTTTGGCCATGCTTGTGTCCGGACGGACACCATTTCATAGCAGGTGTTAATGAATACAGGTTTTTACAAAGAGAAAAATGTTTTTATACATCATCTAGATCGGGGAAAGGCATGTTTGGAAATGCAGATCTAACATTCCCGATGATTGCGTTACGTATTGATTTTCGGTAGTGGTTTAATAGATAAACTGAATTTAAGTGAGAAATGTAGCATAGAAAATGATATCAATTTTGGTGAGAAACGTGTGATACGATTGATTTGATTTAGCCTACTTTTGGTGATAATAGTATTGTGGTATTGATTTAATTCAACCAATTTTTGGTGAAATCGTGTTATACGATTGATTTAATTTAACCAATTTTTGGTGAAATCGTGTTATACGATTGTTTTAATTCAACCAATTTTTGGTGAAATCGTGTTATACGATTGATTTAAGTTAACCAATTTTCGGTGAAATCGGATTATACGATTGATTTAATTCAACCAACTTTTGGTGAAATCGTGTTATACGATTGTTTTAATTCAACCAATTTTCGGTGAAATCGGATTATACGATTGATTTAATTTAACTAACTTTTGGTGAAATCGTGTTATACGATTGATTTAATTTAACCAACTTTTGGTGAAATCGTGTTATACGATTGATTTAATTTGACCAATTTTTGGTGAAATTATGGTGTATATATATGTGTGTGGATAATTGTGCAAGTTGTTTAAGATGCTGAATTTGTACAATATGTGTTATCATACATATAAAGGTAATTATTTTGGAATTTTATTTTCTATTTTTTTACATTTAGCGACACGTGCTTTGAAAGATGAGTATGATATGGTACCGGATCACCTTAAAGACTTAGCATTGACGGTTCCACACTTGCTACAGGGATGTAGAGCAGACAGTATCGTTAGGAAATATTGCTATGGTTAT